CAACAACAACCAGGACAGCCAAAAAAAATAATTGAGTTGTCTCAAGTCTCTTGAGTTTCTTTGGGTCCCCTCAGTCAGGTTAAATCGCATTAAGTGTCTTAAGCCGCCTGAAGCTTCAAGTTTCCTCGAGTCTCGCAAAGTCCCTGCAAATTAATTTCACTAAGTTCCCTCAAGTTTCCAGTCTCCGAAGTCGTTTCGGGTGCTCTGCTCTCCTTAAGTCTCCAAAAAAACTCAAATTGCTCGAAGTCTCCTTGTTTCGGAAATGTCTGTAAGTCTGCACGTCAAATTGCAATTTTTCGAAGTGCTTCGAGTTCTCGAAATTGCTCGAAATCGCAATTTTTCACAGCCGGGGCCAAGATTCTAGTCTAACATTCAAAACCCAACAAATCTAAACAGAAAGAAGAAGAAGTTAAATTTAAATTTTACAGGCATAATTTTGAAAGCAGGATTATTATCGTGGTCCTTCGCGTTCTGTCAGATTTGAAAGACACACACATTTTGGAAACATGAAAAAAACTTAAGGTGAAAAAAAACTAGCCACGATGCGGAAAAAATACATGAGGTGAAAAAAACGCGTGTTTGAGACAGAAAAAGCTGTGAGGCAGAAAAAATACACGTTTGCAGCGGAAAAAAGCTGCAGTCTGTGGCAATGGGGGAGGCCGGGTCTGTCACGTGCACTTGAGCCAGCTCTGGCGTGCGTTGGACGGCTTCTACTTCTACCTGTCACAAAGAAGGGTCTGTTTTTTGGACCTAAAAAAACAAGAAAAACTAGAGACGCAAATACGGGCCTCCCCAGTTCAAGATTCCCGCCGCGGAAGCTGAGATTTTGCGCACATGGCAGCCTGCAAAGCTTCAGCATATCTGATAAATAAAGGGGCCAAAAACAGACCCGTCAGGAGAGACCACCTTCGATCCTGAGAGGGTCCACTTTTGGACTCCTTTTGAAATACATTTCCTTTGCGCAAGGGTCCAAAACTGAGCTCTCAGCATTCTGAATCCGGGCCCCACTCAAATACTTTCTTGCATCGTGTTGTTGAAATTTAGCTACAGTAGCGTCATAGCAACCTGGAGGTGGCAACCAGGTACCTCGAACAAGGGAGGCTCCCACCGTGTCTCCAAAAAGTATGCTCATTTCAGGTGCGCACAGAAAAATCACCCGATGTGGAAACACTTCCCCTGTACATTGCCAAATTTTGAAGCGTGCAAACGTGCAACTTTTTCAGCGCAGGAAGCAGAACCTGTATAGTTTCTTATTCACATTTTTCTCTATCTATTTTTGGTAACAAAAGAAGAGAAATTATTGTTCCCTCCACACAATGATTCTGCAAAGTAAGATAATCATTCTTTGCAGCTACACACACAGAGACTCTGCGAACTGCAACTAGCTGCTTCACAAAAATGTCTTCACTTTGTAGAAACTTGCGCTTTGATCTTCGTTTTTCGGGGGTGGCAATGGGGCTGCTGCTTTTTCCCGTTGCGGAAATGTATTTTTTCCGTTGCGGCAACTTTTTGGCTTGCAAAGCTGGACTTTCTCTGCTGCTGGTTTTTTTCCCGCCTCGGCCGGTTTTTTTCTTGCCTCGGACGGGTTTTTTCCCGCCTCGGACGATTTTTTCCCGCTGCCTCCAAAATGCATTTTTTCTGCTGCAAAGGTGCTTTTGTGCTGCTGCAAGGTGTTTTTTCTGCTGCTTTGAATTTTTACCGCTGCGAAGCGGCATTTTTTGCTGGCATTTTTTCCCGCTGCGGAAACAGCTTTTTCCCGCTGCAAGGCGTTTTTTTCCTGCTGCCAAACGTGTTTTTTTCCGTTCCGATGTTTTTTTCCTGCTGCGAACCTGTATTTTTCGCGCGCTGCGCGAAGACAAGGAGCTAGAGAACGTAGAGTCATACACTGGGCATTCGCCACTTGTAAGCTGGATAGCGCATGGACAAGTAGGTGAAGAAGGCGAACAAACATTGAAACAACCGTCCGCGAATGAAAAGTTGAAACGTACAGCGGTGGACGCAGCGACATGTTTCAACGGTATAGTGGATACAAGCGAGAACGGCAAAAAGAAGAAGAAAAAGCAGAAGAACGATAACAACCACAAGAACAACAACAACAACAAGAAGAACAAGAACAAGAACAACCACCACCACCGCCACCTCCACCACTACAACCTCCAACATCACCACCATTACCACCACCACCATCACCCGCAGCAGCATGGGCAGCATGGACAATATGTGCAGCATGAGGAGCATGGGGAGCAGCACGTGCCATGGAACGCATACAATGACTTTCCTCCGGGCTGCCCCTTTCACCGGACAACGATGACAACCATGACGACGACAAGGACGAGGACGAGGACGAGGACGAGGACGAGGACGACGACGACGACGGCGGCGGCGACGACGACGACGACCACAACCACAACCACAACCACAACCACCACAACAACAACAACAACAACAACAACAACAACCACAACCACAACCACAACCACAACCACAACCACAACAACCACAACCACAACAACCACAACCACAACAACAACAACAACAACAACAACAACAACAACAACAACAACAACAACAACAACAACAACAACAACAACCACAACCACAACCACAACCAACAACAACCAACAACAACCAACAACAACAACCAATAACAACCAATAACAACCAACAACAACCAACAACAACCAACAACAACAACAACAACAACAGCAACAGCAACAGCAACAGCAGCAACAGCAACAGCAACAGCAACAGCAACAACAACAACAACAACAACAACAACAACAACCAGGACAGCCAAAAAAAATAATTGAGTTGTCTCAAGTCTTTTGTTTCTTGGGGTCCCCTCAGTCAGCTTAAATCGCATTAAGTGTCTTAGGCCGCCTGAAGCTTCAAGTTTCTTCGAGTCTCGCGAAGTCTCTGCAAATTAATTTCAGTAAGTTCCCTCAAGTTTCCAGTCTCCGAAGATTTGAAAGACACACACATTTTTGGAAACATAAAAAAACTTAAGGTGAAAAAAACTAGCCCGATGCGGAAAAAATACATGAGGTGAAAAAAACGCGTGTTTAAGACAGAAAAAGCTGTGAGGCAGAAAAAATACACGTTTGCAGCGGAAAAAAGCTGCAGTCTGTGGCAATGGGGGGGCCGGGTCTGTCACGTGCACTTGAGCCAGCTCTGGCGTGCGTTGGACGGCTTTTACTCCACCTGTCACAAAGAAGGGTCTGTTTTTTGGAAAAAAACACGAAACTTGAGACGCAAATACGGTTACTGGAGAGTCTGGCGCACAATTTTCCATCGGAGTTTGGTACCTTGGCGACAATTGTATTCAAAGCGTCCTCGAATATAGACGCCACAGAACATTCAAAGTGCTGACAAGTGCGGCGGGAAAATTTACGTGGCGGTGAAGGTATGCAGCGTGGTTTCAGTTCCGAATTCAACTGGATGAGGTCCGAACCCGCTGGCTATGGTTTGGCGACGACATGAAAAAAAACACATTGCTTCCTGTGATTTTTTGGCTCGAGCCGATTCAGGCAGTCGGTGAGAGGCCCTTCAGGAAGGTACCTTAAGGGGCGAGCTTAGAAATTGAATTTGAAGGTCCGTTGAGGAAGGCTTCGAAGCCCCTTAAGGTGCCTTCGAAGCCTTCGAAGCTCCCTTAAGGTACCTTCAAAGGATTTAGCCAAGGCTTCACTGTTCCTCTGACTCGAGCCAACGGGGAAGCGTGGAGCGAAGCTCACAAAGAAACGCGAAACACGCGACAAAAGCCTACGCGAAACAGAAACCAAAACTGAAAACATCCTACCAACAAAACCACAAACAAAACCCAAAGGGGGAAAAACGAAATGAGGCGATCCACATGTCTGCAAACTGAAACTTGATTTGGAATCACTCGCACGGTCAAATCCTTTTTCAACAGTGGATCGCACTCAAGCCATCCTGTAGCACTCCCAAAGGTCGCTGAGACCCACACCTATCAAATCTCACATCCAAATGGTTCGGACATCTGGAAAAATGTTCATTCCTCGATCCCAAGTCCCAAGTCGAGGACAAATGGCTCTAAGGGTGGGAAACGAAGTTGAAAGGGCGGGTAACCCAAATTTTCTGAGCCAGATTCTCAGACAACGTTGGGATGAAACGAAGTGCAAACTTGAAATCACGAAAACATCACATCAACTCTGAGAAAAAACGAATAAAACAGTGCCAAACAAACTGACGTAAATTCCTCCAAAAAAGGAGGCAAAATAACCAAGCGCCAAAGTCAGTCGAGGGTCTCAAGAAATCCATGCCCAGAAACCCAAGGACGCGAGGAGAGAGAAGCGACGCGGGCGCGAGCGAACCAGCAAGGGAGAAAAACCCCAGGAGACGAAGACAGGAGACAAGAAGGAGGTGAGGCAAACCCCACAGCCAGCAACCCCGACCCGGGCAGTGCAGCGGGGCAAAGCCACAGCAAGGCAAGAGCCACCAACAACCTCACCACCAGCCCAGGCACGAGTGCCACCGGAACAGTCAACTAGGTAAACCTAGCAAGCCTGTTCCTCTGACTCGAGCCAACGGGGAAGCGTGGAGCGAAGCTCACAAAGAAACGCGAAACACGCGACAAAAGCCTACGCGAAACAGAAACCAAAACTGAAAACATCCTACCAACAAAACCACAAACAAAACCCAAAGGGGGAAAAACGAAATGAGGCGATCCACATGTCTGCAAACTGAAACTTGATTTGGAATCACTCGCACGGTCAAATCCTTTTTCAACAGTGGATCGCACTCAAGCCATCCTGTAGCACTCCCAAAGGTCGCTGAGACCCACACCTATCAAATCTCACATCCAAATGGTTCGGACATCTGGAAAAATGTTCATTCCTCGATCCCAAGTCCCAAGTCGAGGACAAATGGCTCCCCAACGTAGCGAGAGGGCGGGGCTGATTCTGAAGCACTGAAATGGGAGTGCTACACTGAATCTGAAGCTGAAGCTGAATTGGAAAAGGTATGAAAAGTAATTCCTCCATCTACCAGTCAGATTTCTCAAATTTGCCCAGGTTCACAATCTGCGCCGTGGACCTCAGCATGTCCTTGTCCAGGTAGCCTTCGCGTTCGTTCCAGAGACGAGTGATGAGGTGAAATTGAAAATCTCCCCAGTCGCAAACCAAACGCTTCTTCAGGTCAACACCCGTAAAATCTTCATTCGTCAAAGCATCTGCCAAGGTATTCTCGCCCCTAGGGCGCCACCGCAAATCCACGCAAACATTCTTTGCCATCAAAAATTCAGTCAGCTGCATGTAGATGATACACAGCGGCCATTTGGTTGTAAGTCCCTTCCGGAGGAGGAACTGGTTGGCCAGGTTATCTGTACCCGCAGTGAGAACCAAAGGAACAACATGCCCAGGGCTACCTGTCTCCAAAAATCCAAACAAAACCAAAGCAACCAATACCGCAAGAAGCTCTGCGGACGTTGACGCCCACTGTGTCTCCCCATCCCTTTTGAACAGGTAAGGGACTTCCTTTTCTGTAAGAGTAATGGAAAACCACTGACCCGTTTGAAGATGATGTCCACCCAGCACGACTTTGCCCTTGGCGCATTTGGCGTCAGTCCTAAAGACTTCCTGTGGCAGAACCGTAGGGCGGCTACATGAATGCATGTAGGTACAGTCCTTCAGCTGCAACTGCAAGAATCTCAAAACTAACATCACCAGCTTGGGACATTTGGCAACTGTACCCCGGTCGAGCGCTGCGCTCCACGAATAAAGAGGGGCCAAGAAAGGTTTCAACCAGAGCAATACCCTAGAGACGAAACCAAGGCGGCCCAGAAACTCATTGAACCTTCTCATGTAAATCGTTCCTTTTGAAGCAAACATCTCATCGATGAAAGAAACCAGCCAAGCTCCCCTCCGTTGGGTAATGCCCAAACGGCAGGCACGGTAATCCAGCAAATACCCCACGAAGCAGACTTGGAGGCCGCCTGAAAACTTTGCATAGGAGAAGGGTGTGCCCAATATCTCATACAGTGCCAAGGCCGTCCACAAAACAAGAAACTTGCGTGGCCCCAGGCAGGTGAGATGCAAGTCATCAACGTAAACCAATTGAAACCAATTCTCCTGTCCCAGGATGTAGGCAACCAGTCGTCCAATCCCAGCGAAGAGGCGTGTCCACCAGTAACTCGCCGATGATACCCCAAATGTCCCGACGGTGTTGATCCAGATGGTCTTATCGTCGTCATGAGCCCTACACCCCAACAAAGGCCAATCCTCTTCTCGGATCTTCACCAGGCGGTGTGCCGCTTTGATATCTGCCGACATCGCAAAAAGAGATTCTTCGTCATCTTCCACCAAACGGATCATGGCAGCAGCATCCTCAGGTCCAGGGTATTGCAACTGGTCCTGGAAGCAAATATTGTTATTAAGCTGGACGAAATGGGTACCGTCATGCAACGGTCTGACATCACCATTCGGTTTCTTGATGGCCCCCATTGCTGCCACCAAAGGGGTTCGCTCAGGGTGTTTTGATTGCAAAGCTGATAAGGTGGTTGGGATCATCCTCCCCAAAGCCTCTTCTTCCCTGAACTTCTTTTCCAGCTCTTCCGACATCTCTCGGGCCGAGCGGTAGTTGCAAGCCAAATTATTGTACTCCGACTCATCCAACTGTCTCACCTTCTCCTTTCGAGGAAAGACATCCGGAGTTCTCGGGAGGGGCTCATCGTAACCCACTGGGACCCCAGTCCAAAAAGAATCCTTACCATGCATAAAAATCTTGTAATCTGGATCTTCCACCTTCTCCAAAGACTGCGAAATCATACCCAGCAAGAAAGGTTGGCGCTCAGGGATCTCCAAGGACTTTGACCTGGAGGGCAGCAACGAAGCCCATTCTTTCCTCAAATCGTCCAGATCCTGTTCCGAAAAGGGTGAAGTCTCGATCTTCCCTAGGCCCAGTTTGAAAGCTGCCAACCGCAAGTCTCCAAGCCTTTCCGTGACAAACTTCGAAACCATTCCAAAAATTGATTTGCAAAAATCTTGACCTCCTGCGCAAATATGTGCTCCTCGGTCAGCTGGGTTCCACAATGTCGGAGAACAAAGACCAAAGCCGTCCACCAGTGGTTTGCGTCTGCCAGCCCAGTCCATCTCCATAGGCTGCCCCCTGTGAAGTTCCGACCCTCCATTGCTTTCCAAGTGATTAGGCTCAGCTGTGGTTTCCTGATCTGGTTTGTCAGCTTCATTAGCGGTCATCTCACGCACTGAGCTTGAAGCCTGTGAAGGCGGCTTCGGCGTGTCCGGCAAAGTTGGGGTTGTTGATTCTGATTCTTGCTCCCTGCTGGCCTCAGAGTTCATGACCCCCATTCGTGAGACGACGAGGGCAGCTAACCATTTGCAGAGGCCTGGTGGATAGGCAGCTGCTGCCGCTGTTTTCCATTTACCTTTTTCTTTTCCAATCAGTTTCTGGACATGAAAAGTGTGGGTACATGAGGCCGGCAATGGTCCCATGTATCGTCTGTCTGAGTCAAATTGTGGCAGCCCCTGGTGTGGAAATTGTTTGGCAGCGTGCAAAGAGGTCATAAAACGTGCTGGTTTGGGTGACATTGCCCCTTATTTGTCACAAGGAAACCAGCTGTGAACCCATGACCAACACCCGACTTTAACTTTCCGTGTAAGCTCATATGTATAAAACTTCGAACATAACTATCGACCAAAAATACATATGAATACGCAAACGCGGTGAAAACAGATAAACGCCGTAAACAACGTCCAGTCCAAACCAACAAGTCGTAGGTCCAAAAAACGTGTCCAGCAAAAACCGAAAATCACAAGCAGCAACTTGACAATGAGAGTGCTCAAACGCGTCAATCTTTTTTCCACAGCAGTTGGGCGAACATTCATTGGATCCCGCTGTCGAAAAACGGCAGGGGTAGGCTGTCGAACAACATAGGAAACAACCCTCGCAAAGCGTCCGTTGGATCCTATCTGTGTTCGAAAAAAGTTTCTGGGTGGGAAAACGCAAGTTGGGTGGGTAAATCTCGCACATCAAATGTGCAAGTCAGAAACCCTCACCTCCCTCCCTAATCTTGAGGCGGGCGCGGAAACACATATTGTTTTACCCCCTCAAAGATTTGTGTTTGGTTTCCAGAAAGTTTTGTTTGACAAAACAGTCTTAGAAATAAATTCAGAGCAAACAAAATTTGTTTGATTCTTTTCTTCAAAACGACAACCTCTGTTTAAACAAAGGACGATCGTTCAGGCGACTTGCCAGGTTGAAGAAAACACAGAACAAAGTCAGGTGTGGGTATCACAGCTTAATTTTTTCCAACACAAAAATTTTCCTTTTGTTCTCAAATAAAGGAGTCATCATCGCTTTGCAATGAGTTACCCCTTATTTGTCACAAGGAAACCAGCTGTGAACCCATGACCAACACCCGACTTTAATTTTCCGTGTAAGCTCATATGTATAAAACTTCGAACATAACTATCGACCAAAAATACATATGAATACGCAAACGCGGTGAAAACAGATAAACGCCGTAAACAACGTCCAGTCCAAACCAACAAGTCGTAGGTCCAAAAAACGTGTCCAGCAAAAACCGAAAATCACAAGCAGCAACTTGACAATGAGAGTGCTCAAACGCGTCAATCTTTTTTCCACAGCAGTTGGGCGAACATTCATTGGATCCCGCTGTCGAAACCCCATTGTCTCGATCCAACATCGCCCAAGCTGTTCCACAGATTGTTCCAATCGACACAAGACTTGGCAACGCCTAGAGCGTCCATTTCTTGTGTCTTCAATCTGCTCGGATCATCTGATATGTTGCTGCTGGTCGGTACTCGGGAAAACCAGACTTTTATCTGTAGATCCATCTCTTCTTGCACAAACATCTGCAAGATGGTTTTTCCTGCTCCCGTTGAAGTAGCTGCATGAATGAGAGCTCCTTTGGCCGCCTCGTTGTCGAGGTAAAACACGCATTGGCAATGCATCAGAAGGTGTCTCCATGTGCAAACGGCACACCAGACTGGTAGCAGCTCTAGTTCAAAGATCGGGTGTTCGGATTCGGAAAGAAAATATCTCATCCAGCGTTCAGGAACCACCTCAGAAAAATAGTGACAAGGAATCCCATCAGGGCTTATCAAAACTCCTCCAATGGTTCCGACTTTGTTGTTGTCCCCCTCGCAAGCTCCATCTGAAAAGACCAGCCACGTCTTAAGGTTCGTGGATTGTATTCTTGTAGGAGGTGCTCGCAACACCCTGTCTTTGAGGAAGGAAATGACGCTCAGCTCAAACTGCGTGAGGTCTTCTTTGATGCGGCCGGTCGATGCAATGCGACTGATCACCCTCAAGGCCTGTTGTGCAGTTCGGCCATGCGCAAAACTTTCGAACCATTGTAGTCTCCCACGCAACTTCTCAGCATCCTTTCTGGACATTCGCTTGGTTTGAAGAAAGCCAGCCAAACATGTCTGCAACTCAGCAACTCTATTCTCTGTATGTCCTATGGTGACATAACTGCCATCCCCTCCTTCGGGATCCAGATCAACCAACACGCCCAGTGTCTTAACACGGGTGCTCCACTCCACAGCTTTCTTGCCCTCTGTGGCAAACTGCAAGCCCAAAAGGGAAAAAAGGGTCTCCGCAGCCACTGACGCGCTTCGTGAGTTGATCTTCTTAGAAAGCAAAGTAAAGTCGTCGAAGAAGCTCGTCCAACAAAGCCGCAATCCAACAACGCCCACGTACCAAACTGCTAAGGAAATGCGTAGGAAGGCTCCTACTGAGCCAATTGCTCCAAAAGGTAGGGCATTTGTGCCCATCAACCTTACCTTTTTATTTTCCACATCCCAAACTGCAAGCCTTAGGAGATCTCGGTCTTGAGGTCTGATGCCAAACTGCTTGTAAGCGTTTTTCAAGTCGTAGGTCTTACCCACGACCTGGCTCATAGCGCCAGGCCCCAAGTTTGTCATGCACCAACAAATGTATGCAGCCATCTCGTCGACTGCATGCACTTTCATTTTCTCACTGGTGCCACATGTCGAGTTAAAACCACCAATGGAACAGTCGTCAATCATGCGCACTTTCTCGGACTGCTGCAAACCAAAACGCTTTGCTAGTATCTTGTCTTCGACCCCACCTTCATCATCAAACCAAACCCAATTTTTCTCTACTTCCTCAAGCGATTGTCGCCATACTTCAGTAGCAAGCGCTGGATCTGATTGTTCAGAAACCTGTTTGATGATACTCTTGTTCACTCCCTTGGCCAATTTTCGGGCTGAGTCCAAACTTTGCGTTGGCCTCTTCATGTGTGCAGGAAAAACTTGAGATTTGGGCATCCACCCTGTCAAGGGAAAGCCGTCGCAGATTGTATCAACCAAGTCCTTGTCAGGGTATCCAAGGTCCAAAAGCATTTCTTTGAGCAGCAACAAACGTTTACCATCTAAGACCTCTCTCAAGTGGGGCGCCAGCCTTTGGTGTAGCTTGGTCTCTTCACCGGCCAGCTCCTGACACCGCTTGGTCCATTTCCTAAGGAACTGGGCGCGGGTTTTCACTATCAGATGTGGTTCATCTGAAAATTCTCTTGAAGCATCTGCACAACCGCTGGGTTCAAGTGAATTGCAAGTGACCTAGGATGCCCAACACTAACAGCACGCTCCAGGAAATCCCAAGGTTCTCTGGGAATGCCCACAGTGACCAACTCAGCGTGTATCTGTTGTCCTTCTGCACAACTGAACAAGATAGGTGACTTCAAATCAATCTCCACCTTCTTGTCGCCAGAAAACCAAAAATATGCCTGTTCATCGACCCGGAACATCCCCCATTGCAACTGTCGTTGAACAATCCGGGCACCTTTGGGAAGTGCCTGGAAAATGTCAGAGCTTTCTGGGTCTGTAGCTGCTTCGATTGCAAATTGCTTGTACGCTTGAAACTCGCTCACCAATGGTTTCATGCGCTTCCCTTTCGGCAACATGTCAATGACCCAACGGTGTGATGTACCATGATCCATGGGCAATTGCTCGGACAAAGTGCTGGGGGCGCTTGCACCCATGCGCATGGCGTAAGCAACAAACACTGCAACCAACCTTTTGCAAAGTAACATTGGGTATGCTGCCTCTTCCGCTGTCGGGAAAGAAAGGTTGGTCCCTTGAGGGACAGGATTCCACTTAGCATGGTCATGTTTACCATCGCAAAGAACACCCAGCTCACTGAAAACATCTTTGGTCGACCACCAGGTTGTTAGTTTATTCCTTGAGCCACCATGCATGCAGTTGTGAAAAGACACGCTGTATCCTGAATCCAAAAGAGCCTCAATCTCCGGGAAAAACCAGAATAAAGAGTTAGCTGGATTTTCAATTGAGCACAAGAGGTCCAGCTTCTGACACAGTTTGACAATGGTTGCTGTGGCTGAATAAACAATGTTGGCTGACTCAGTACGTAACTTGTCAGTGCCCTGCAGTCCATCCAAACCCATGGGTTTCTCCTTCGATCGCAATGGCACCGGTATTTTGAATCCTTTTCTGGCTAGGTTGCTAAGCTTCTTCTCCCGCGCACGGGAGGCTGTACCACAAGCAGGGGCCAGGTGTACTGCCAGAACTCTTTTGTGCTCTGTTTCAATCAGTTCCAACAGGGCTGCAAGCTCTTCTGGGTTTGTGACGTCATACTGTGCCACAAAAATTTGTGAAGCTCTCATGCTGGTCTTGTCGATGGGTAGGACTTGCAAACCAGCGTCCCTTGCAGCTTTTGATAACCTTGCAGTGCCCGCATAAATCTCAAGGAA